ATGGCAGCCCTATTCCAGAACATCTGAATGAAATAAAAAGTATTGTTAACCAACTTGCTTCTATGAAAATTGTTTTTGATGGTGAGTTGCAGGCTTTGATGCTACTTAGTTATTTGCCCGAAAGTTGGGAGACTTTGGTTGTGACCGTTAGTAATTCGGCGCCCGATGGAGTTGTCACACTGGACCAAGTCACTAGTAGCCTGTTGAATGAAGAAACTAGAAGAAAATCAGCAGGTTCTTCTCATTCAGAAACATTTGTTGTGAGAGGCCGAAGCAAAACAAGGGGGAGGAGTAAGACTCCTCATGGTCGTGATCAAAGCCATGACAAATCAAGAGATGGTTTAGTTCTTTTTCAAAGAAAGACATTGAGTGCTATTATTGCCATGAGAAAGGGCACATGAAGCGGGAATGCCGAAAGCTCAAGAATAAGGAGAAAAGGCATGACAAAAGTGTGGACAAGAAGCAAGAAGATACAATGACAATTACTACTGATGATCTCATGGTCGTTTGTGAAGACGATTGTATCAATTTTGTGGGCCAAGAGAGCAATTGGGTGATTGATTCCGGTGCTTCTTTTCATGTGACTTCTCGAGTTGATTTCTTCATTACCTACACTGAAGGAGATTATGGTTTTGTTCGAATGGGTAATGAAGGTTTGTCCAAGATTATTGGCATGGGTGATGTTTGCTTGGAAACAAATTTGGGCTGCAAGTTGTTGCTTAAAGATGTGAGGCATGTTCCCAACATTCGCCTCAATTTGATCTCTACTGGGAAGCTAGATGATGAAGGCTACAACAACAAATTTGGTGATGGAATATAGAAGCTCACAAAGGGTTCTTTGGTGGTGGCTAAATGCAAAAAGACTCATACACTTTATTCGATGCAAGGAAAAATTTGTAAAGGTGTTATCAATGCACTTGAAGATGGAATTATGGCACAAGCGGCTTGGCCATATGAGTGAAAAGGGGCTACAAGTTTTGTTCAAGAAAGAGCTTCTACCCGGTTTGAAAGGTACACATCTTAAAACTTGTGTTTATTGTTTGGCGGGTAAACAATATAGAGTTTCGTTTCATAAAAATGTTGCCTCTAGAAAAGAAAATGTTTTGGAGTTGATTCATTCGGATGCTTGTGGTCCTTTAAAAGTTAGAACACATAGTGGTGCACTTTATTTTGTTACTTTCATTGATGATTATTCAAGGAAAATTTGGGCTTTTCTACTAAAAACTAAAGATCAAGTTCTAGAAGTATTTAAGCATTTTCAGGCCACGGTTAAAAGAGAAACAGGACAGAAATTGAAGTGCATTCGATCAGACAATGGTGGTGAATACATTGGGCCATTTGATGAGTATTGTCACAACCAAGGTATTCGGCACCAAAAGACCGTTAAGAAGACTCCTCAACAAAATGGCGTTGCCGAGAGGATGAACCGCACCATTGTGGAAAGAACAAGGTGTTTGCTTTCACAAGCTAGATTGCCAAGATCTTTTTGGGGTGAGGCAATGAAGACAGCGGTTGATGTGATCAATTTGTCTCCTTCCTATCCTTTGAATGGTGATGTTCCAGAAAGAGTTTGGACCGGCAAAGATGTGTCTTATGAGCACTTGAGAGTGTTTGGTTGTCGAGCTTTTGTTCACATTCCAAAGGATGAGAGGTCCAAGCTTGATAGTAAGTCAAGACAATGCATTTTTCTTGGCTATGGGCGTGATGAATTCAGGTATAAATTGTAGGATCCAGTCGACAAGAAAGTCATTCAAAGCCGTGATGTTGTGTTTCTTGAAGACCAAACAATTGAAGACTTTGGCAAAGGTGATCAACCGAAGCCACAAACTAGTGATCTCATTGACATGGATCCATCTCCTTCATCTTCAGTTGATGATGAAAATGGGGGAGAGGTGCAACCACCTCTTGAAGATGTAGATGATGATGCTATTCAAAATGAAGTTGAGCCCGAAATTGAGGAAGAGCATCCAACTCAAGAACCGCCACCACAACTTGAGTTGAGAAAATCTACAAGGGACAGACAACTTTCAAGAAAGTATCCTTCTAATGAATTTGTGTAGATTTCCGATCAAGGGGAGCCTGAGAGCTACCAAGAAGCAATTGAGCATGCAAAGAAAGGTGATTGGAAAAAGGCCATGGACGAGGAGATGAATTCCTTGCTTGAAAACCAGACTTATGATTTAGTGAAGTTGCCTAAAGGGAGGAAAATTCTGAAAAATAAGTGGGTTTTCAAATTGAAGAATGACGGCAAGAATCTAAGGTACAAAGCACGTCTTGTTGTGAAAGGCTTTAGGCAAAAGAAAGGCATTGACTTTGATGAGATTTTCTTGCTAGTTGTGAAGATGTCTTCTATTCGGGTTGTACTTGGTATGGCTGCAAGTATGAACCTTGAAGTTGAGCAACTTGATGTGAAGACCGCATTTCTTCATGGTGACCTTGAAGAAGAAATTTACATGGAGCAACCGGAAGGTTTTGTAGAAAAAGGAAAAGAGAAATTTGTTTACAAGTTGAAGAAAAGTTTGTATAGCCTCAAGCAAGCCCGCAATGGTATACAAAATTTGACTCTTTCATAATGAATAATGGTTTTTCTAAAACCACTTTGGACCATTGTGTGTTTGTGAAAAATTTCCCGGATGGTAAATTTATTATTCTTTTGCTTTATGTTGATGACATGTGAATTATGGGTTAAGATTCTACCATGATAAACAGGTTGAAATTGGAGTTGAGCAAGTCTTTTGCTATGAAAGAGTTGGGACCGGCAAAGCAAATACTTGGTATGAAAATTGTTCGTGATCGCAAAGAAGGGCTGGTTTGGTTGTCTCAAGAAAGCTATATTGAGAAGGTTCTTGAGAGATTCAACATGAATAAAACCAAGTCGGTTGGTTGTCCACTTGTGGGTCACTTCAAGCTTAGTTCGAATCAATGTCCTACAAGTGAGAAAGACAAAGAAGAGATGTTGAAAATTCCTTATGCTTCAGCAGTTGGTTCATTGATGTACGCCATGGTGTGTACAAGGCCGGATATTGCTCACGCCGTTGGTGTGGTGAGTCGGTTTCTTTCTAATCTGAGTAAAGAACATTGGGCAACGGTTAAATGGATTCTAAGAGATCTTCGAGGGACTTCAAAGGTGTGTTTGTGTTTTGGGGATGGTAAGCCAATGCTTGATGGTTCACAGATTCTGACATGCCCAGTGATATTGATTCTAGGAAATCTACTTCGGGGTATTTGATGACATTTGCAGGGGGAGCTGTGGCATGGCAATCTAAATTACAAAAATGTGTTGCTCTCTCAACTACCGAAGCTGAATTTATTGCTATTACAGAAGCTTGCAAAGAAGAGTTATGGTTGAAGAAATTTTTGCAAGAGTTAGGTTTGAAGCAAGAAAAGTATGTGCTTTATTGTGATAGTCAAAGTGCTATTCACTTGAGTAAAAATTCTACTTTTCATTCGAGATCGAAACACATTGATGTGAGATACCATTGGATTCGTGATGTGTTAGATTCGAAATTGTTACAACTCGAAAAGGTTCACACGGATGATAATATTTCGGATATGTTGACTAAGACTTTGTCGAGGGACAAACATTTGAAGTGTCGAACTTTGGCGGGTATGGTTGATGTCTCCACCTAAGTCGGTAGGGGAAAAATTGTTGGGTATACCTCCTTATTGGAGTGTGGGACCCAATTGGTTTGTTAAAAGAATTTTAATTTGGCTTGGTTTAGGTCTAATATATTTTTGTATATTATATTTGTGGAGACCCAATTCAATTTAGATACAATTAGGGTTTTGATAAAATAAATCTAAGATTTAACAATATATATATATATATATATATATTGTTTTGTATGTCCCGTATGAGTATAGCAGCAGCAAGTAATTGATTCGGTGAGATTGCACTTGGTAATCAATTCGGTCCACTTTGCTTTGTGTAGCAACAATTTGTTTGATATTAATTCAATTCAATGGGTTGTTTTCAAGCACTATTTAAAGGCTTTGACGACTTCGGCGTGCAGTCGGTATTGATTTAGGTTGTTATTTTGGGTCTTCTACAACTCTGGTTCTGAAGATTTTTGTTTATCTATTTGGTGAGGTCTTTCCTCTTATTTATTTGTGATTATTTGGAATTCACCTAAGGGTGGTTTTGTGAGACCATTCGTGTCTCGTTTGTAATCGTTTGGAAACTTATTTGGTTGACAGTGGAATCGGATTTTGATCCCGTGGATGTACCTTACATTGAGGGAACCACGTAAAAATTCTTGTGTTGCTTTTGATTTAATTTTTCCGCATTAGTTTTTATTCCCATTGATTGATTTACTTGTGGGGAATCACATATTTTCCCTAACAAACGGAACAATACTTGCACTTAATTGATATAAAGAATGCAAGGGCAAGGAAATAAAGGCTCAGTGACGACAGATCCTATGATTAAATTAAAACTACTTAAGGTAGAATAAAAACACTTCTCAAATAATAAGCAAGGCTTGTTTTACTTCAGATAGCATTTGAGCAGGGTAAGAAGCTAAAAGTGGAGAACATAATATCTTCATAGAATGAATGTAACAATTCAGCTCAGAACTAAAAACCTTTTTTAATTTAATTTTATTACTTATCAAGCAAATCAGCTCAGAACTGAAAAAGAGAAAAGCCGACCAATCAATTCACATTTAGAATCATGAAACAATCATTAAATAAAGAGACCAATTATGTGTCTCGTCTTATTAAAGCTCATAATCATAAGCATGCAACAACCATAAGCCCGTGAACATTCTCTACAAAAAATAAATAAAGAAGAAAAAAAATAACGAAAAAGAAGAACTCCTTTAACTAGAAATTCTCCTAGAAAATAATAAAGTTAACCGAATAAATGTGCAATACAACAAGTACAAAGAAAGACGACAATGGCAGAGTAGAAACAAGGAACCTGAAATATAAAATGGAAAAGATTGACATTGCTTACAATCATCAATAACCCATGTATAACGATGCATCACCTCGACTCATTACGATGGCAGAGACAAAGAAGAAAATCCCAGAAACTTCTGAATCATGTCATTCAATGAATTATCTAACCCATCAGCCAATGACAAGTTTGATAGAAAGGTTACAGTGGATGCATTGGTTGAGATACCTTTATCAACCATAATGTGAAGAAGTTGAAATGCCTTTAATGTTTCATTATTCTGTAGAAACTTCTGAACAACTATATTATACAAATAAAGATCTGGCAAACATCCATTTCCTTCTATTTTCCCAAGCAACTCGTTTGCTTCATCAAGTAGCCCTTCTTTACAAAGTCCATTGATCATTATATTATGTGTATGAACATCAGGTTTCAACCCTTTGGCAGAGAGATTCAAGTAGAGTTCCCGTACTTCATTGAGCTTTCCAGCATTGCACATACCATCCATGAGGGAATTATAGGTAACAGTATCTGGCATTGGTCTTTTACAAGATATTTCTTTGAAGAGTTTGATGGTGTAGACGCCCCATTTTTGATCGTCCTCAAGACTTGGACGTCATCGTTTGAACACTCGATGATTATCCATGTTCGTGTTCGTCTTGAGTTCTCGGAGGTTTCGGCCGCGCGCCTTGCCTCAAGACCTCTCGACCTGTTTATTTTGTGCTTGGTTTTTTTTGTTTCTAAGGGCAGGGAATGGCTTGTTGGCCATTCCCACACCTCACTGGCCATGGTCTGAGGCCACCGGCCCTATTTTCTTGCTACCGGCTAAAGGTGTTGGCCGGTCGGCATTTTTTTTGGTCGGCCGGCCATTGTTTTGATCAATCGGCCACTTTTTCTGGCCGAGCCCTTTTCTTGAGGAAGCTTGACCCTTTTGAACCCTTATTTTAGCTTTTTGAGGAAGCTTGAACCTTTTGAACCTTTTTTTAGCTTCTTGAGGAAGCTTGAAACCTTTTGACCCTTTTTAGCTTCTCCAAGAAGCTTGACCCCTTTTTTTTTAGCTTCTCTTAGAAGCTTGAACCTTTTGAGCATTTTTTTAGCTTCTCCAAGAAGCTTGACCTTTTTTAGCTTCTCCAAGAAGTTTGACCCCTTTTTTGGCTTCTTAAAGAAGCTTGACCCTTTGCTCCAAGCTTCTAAGATAAGCTTGAACCTTTCTTAGCTTCTTGAGGAAGCTTGACCCCTTTGCTCTAGCTTCCTCAAGAAGCTTGACCCTTTTTGCTTTAGCTTCTAAGAGAAGCTTGGCCCCTTTGCTTCAAGCTTCTAAGAGAAGCTTGGAACTTTGTTCTTCTATAAGAGGAACCCTCTCCCTCATTAGAAAAGGTTCCAAAAAAAATTGTCTAAGGCTTATACACATATCTCTCCTTGCATCTCTACATTTAGGCTTAGAAGAGTGAATGTTCTTGGTCCTTTGCACACCACCTCATAGCCTAACCCTTCCACCATCAACCTAAGGTTCTTGGAAGGTCTTGAGAGGGCTTAAGGAGCTGGTTTTGGTCCAGAGAAGTGGCTGTTTTGCTGAGCTACAAGGGTGAGCACACTTTTTCCCTTTTTAAGCTTTATTTTGCTCCATCTTTTAGCCATATTTGCAAGCATTTTTGAGCTTTGGAATAAACTGAAAAAAGTCTTATTTTGAGGTCCTTTACATGTTTGTTTAAGGTCTCTTTGGTGTTTGGGGTTTTTTACCCCCTCTGAGGCCTTGTTTGGCCTCTTTTTTGTGCCTTTTTTGTGAGCTTCGGGACCACCTTGTGTTGGCCTTCTTACCACTGAAATCCAGAGGGATTTTAGTGGTGGGGATGATGTTTTGAGGTCCTAAGAAGGAGACGGCCATCCCCTCTCCTTATTGTTTTGTTTACTTGCATTTTTGGCCTTACAAAGGAGCCCATATTTGCATGCCTCCCAAGCTTGGTTCAGGCCATTTTTGGTGAGTTTTAGGACCTATATAACCTCTTTCCGGAGGTGGTTTTGTCATATTTAATGTTCATCTTGCATGTGTAGAACAACCCCTTGTATGGCCGTCCAAAGGAGCACCTCATTCTAACATGTGTTGGCTCTATTTCAGTGGGTATTTGGTGTTATTTAGGCATGCTTTACCTCTGTTTTAGGTTGTTTTGTTGACCCCTTGCATGCACCATACACTTGCCTTGCATTCCTCTATTTTGCCTAGAAAGACATCTTGCATTTGGACCACCATGCTTTCATGTTTTGACTTAGCTTTGTGAAGTTTTTAGTCATGTTTTAACATGATTAAGTTATGTTTGGTATCGATTTGGTCATGCTTGCCATGCTTTGTATAGCTTCTTTGCATTCTAGCTTGCTTGCTTCGGGTGTGTGAGTCATTATCATGCTTCATTTAGGCTATTTTAGTGATTTGGAATCACTTCCCATGCCATTTCAGTCCATGTTCTAGGGCCACACACTTGCATTTATCATCCATTCCATGCTTGGGATAGTTTGTGTGTTATGCCTTAAGAATAGACCATTACATGCGCTTCCATGATTTGGTCTTTGGAAGACCTTCTCATTGGGTTTTGGGGCTTATTTTGATGTGTTTTAACTCTGATTTTATTTTCCTAAATCATGCCATGTTTGGTTGTAAGAGGTGTAGTGTATTTCCCCTTTTAGGCCTTGTATGCGTCTTGTTTTGTACTTGCCTTTGTAGCATGTTTTGGCCTCATTCCATGCATGTTCTAGCCTTGTTTTGGCCTCCCTTGGGACTGTTTTGGATCACCTTAGCCCTTTGGGGCTTGGTCGACATGGCCATGGTTCAAGTCCCGTGGCTTGCTTTGAGCTTTAAGTCCATTAACATGCTTTGCTTGTCTTGATTAGTTGATTTGGCATCATCTTTCGTGTAACTTCAGAGCTTAGTATTCTTGCCATTTGTCCATAATAGTCTATTTTAAATGTGTTTAAAAGTTGCTTCTTTTATGCCTTAGATGATAGGCCTTTGTGCATGCATGCTTGTATGTATGTTTCCATGCTTTTGTTGCATCCCATTGGCCATTGATTTTGGCATGCTTGAGAGCTACCCATGTTAGTGTAAGTCCATCTCACCATGTTGTCGCATGCTTGTTTCATTTCGCATGTTGTTGCATGCTATACACATCCACATGTTTAGGTTGTATGCCTATATGCATATTGCATGTTCACATGCTCATGTCGCATGTTTAGCTTGCATGTTTAAGTTGCATATCATTGCATGCATCTCTAGCCTCTTGAATCAATTATCATAGGGGTTGGAGGCCTCTTATTTGTTTTTTGTGCATTTCATTCGGTATCAAATGCATACTTGACTCTTTGGCCATCACGCATTGAAATACGCGATTGATGGTCCGAGGGTCGAGTACCATACTCCCTTGAGTCTTAAACATGACAGAGAGGGTGGTTGTGCATACATTGTCATGTAAATTCTTTGCCATGCACTGTCTGTCCTCTGCTGCAACAAAACCAGTATTCTGCAGCAACATATGGCCGGTCGACTACATTAAGTGTCAACCGACTACCAAACTCCAGCCGGTGATCCAACTTTTGGTCGATGGCAATTTTTATATGGTCGGTGGACTTGTATTCTGGCCGGTGACATTCCACAGTGCTAAGGGAGTATTTCAGAGGCATCCCAAGGATTCTCACATCCCTCAGAGGTGCAGAACAGCGCAAACAGAGGCAACAATGGCATGGCAACGGGTTTTCGGGCGAAGCCAATCCGAGCATGCGTGCATCCCTCTTTCCGAGGCCTTTTACTACTTTCCATAGCTTAGTTAATTTGTTTAATTAGTTAAGCGTTATGTAATATTTAATTAGCTAGGGTAGTTAATTATTTATCCGGTTTGTATTATTTGTTCGGACCCTCCGAGCGAGGGCAATGTTGTAATAAGTGTGCGTGCATGTGTGCATGTCTTCCAACCCCACGTCTTTCTCCCTTTTATTTACCAGCTTTCGATGGTTAGATTAGGGCATGTTTCAATTAGCATACTTATGCTCGCATGTTTGCATCCATTCATTCGTCTTGCATGCACCTGGCTCGGCGCATCATACTAACTGCATTGTATTTCAATTCCAAGTTAAATACATGTATCGATTATTGCATCTCATATGTCATTCTTAGATTAGCCAATCCTATCTTAGTTGCATTTTGCATGTGTTGCATTAGCCATCTTAACATGAACTAGGATCATGCATTGATTACTAACTAGTTTCTGTTTTGGCTCGGAGTACTTGGTGAGTGTTTATGCTTTAGCATCCTTGCATGTGTGTGAGTAACTGCCATGATAGCATGCTTACCATGAGGCTATTTGCTTATGTGATATAACTGCCTGAATGCTTGTGGGTGAAAGTTAGATTGCTTGAATTGGGATAATTCATTGAAATCCGTGTTTTAAGCCTACTTGCGAGTAGCAAACTTCAAACCATTTCCAAACAAACGGATATGCGATGCTTTGTTCCAAATTAGGCAATCTAGTCTATACTTGTTTTGTTGTGCGTATCACGTAGTAAAGATTAGCTAATTAACCGGAATAAGAATGCATGTGTTTTCAAAAACAAGATATCATGTTTAGTAATGGCCGATCTTTGATCAGGCGAGCGGGGGTGCTCATAGCTGACCTTCCCCAATCGTACCCAAGTTCCTGAGCCGAGGCAACTTTGGTGATGACGGACACGTGGCCTTAGGCACGAGTCAGGGTTTCCTAAATTCCCCCAAAATAAATATTTAGGTGGCGACTCTGTATCTGGCAAAGCAGTCCATGTTTGGCACTTCTTTCTAAAAATCTGTTTTCAAAACGATTTGCTGGATTTGGACTCTTTGGTGATTTATCAGTCTTGCATTGCACTTTGCGAGACTAGATTCAGAACCGTGACATTGAGTCCTGAACTGTAGTGAGCCCAAATGAACAAAACGGGATTCCTCCCGGGACGTTCGGGGACGTCTACAGATGGCTTCTTCAATCCTTCTACTATTACAGAACCCGTTAATCAAGATGTTATAACTAAAAACAGAAGGAGCACAACCCCTATTGACCATAACATCAAACACTTTTCTTGACTTGTCAACTTGGCCAAGCTGACAGTACCCATCCATGAGTGCATTGTAAGTGAAAACATCAGGCACTTCACCTCTTTGGATCATCAATTCAACCACATCTTGTCCTTCTTTGACCATACCTCCCTTACAAAGTGCATCAACTAAAATGTTGAAGGTTTGTAACTCTGGTAAAATATTCCTGTTCACCATTTCATTCAACAATCATGTAGCCTCTTTCCACTGGCCTAACCTACATACACCTTTAATTAATGATTTGTAAGTGATAAGATCTGGGGAAACGCCATTACCAATCATTTCTAAGAAGAGCTTGAAACCTCCGGTTACTAGCCTCACCTTGCAAAGGCTATCGATGACCATGTTGTAATCCACTATTCCCGGCTCACAACCTCCAATTTCTTCCATTTTTTTGAGCAAAATAATAGCAGCACTAGCGTTTCCCGTTTTGCATAACCCATTTAATATAGTGATGTATGTAAAAAAATCGGGCGGGAACCCTTTCTCCACAATTTCATCGAAAAACTTAACCGTCGAAGTAACACAAAGCCCCTTGATGAGGGTATTGAAGGTTGTGGTGTCTGATTCATAACCAAGTTTCAATATTTTCCCCAAAATAGAAAAACCCAAATCAACTCGATTCAAGTTACAGAAACAATTAATCATGATGCTAAGAGTACAAACATCATAGAAACCCAATTTTCTAAACAGATAAATCACGTTGGAATAATGCTTTGTTTTTGCAATTGAAGTTAGGAGTTGATTAAATTGAAGATTGACGGCAAGGATTGCATACGAAGCATGTGATTAAACAGAGTTAAGGCATCGTTATCATCGTCAATGTTAATCATATTATTTGATTTTGATGATGTTTAAAATATTATTTGCAAAAATTTAGATTTTTTAATATACATATTATTTGACACAAAATATTATTTAAATAAAAATATTTTTGAAAACTCTACTATTCACTTTTTGAAAATTTAGACTGGTCACTATTCACTTTTTGACAAAATTAAAATTGATTAATTATATTATTTTGACATAATTGATTAATTGATTGTATTATCTTGAAAAATGTGATATTTATAAGTTGTCTTCTTTTGACAAAAGTGATGTATCCAAATGTAGTGGTAGGTTATGTTTAGTTGAAAATCTCTAGAAAAATTTAAAAATGGTATATACGATCAGATCTATTATAAATATTACTTAAAGGGATTTTACTATATATGCAAATATTTGATTAGAATATTATATATAATGCATATAATATAAATAGAATATATCACGTGAGCAATTAAATTTTTTACACTACATTGATTATATCATATTATAATAAAACAAGAAGAAAAAGATGGAGTTATATATATATATATTATAATAAAACAAGATGGAGCAAATCATTTGTTTGTTTGAAAATTGTGAACTTTGTATTAAATTGTCTACAAAAACGGTGGCTCAATGTTTGAAAAAAACAAAAAAAAGAAAAGAAAATCAAGGAGCATGCTTATGTAAGCCATGACGTCAGCAAGGAGCGTCCTAACGGGTATATTTTTGTGTATAAATAGAAGTGTTGTGTGTGGAGAAAAATCAAGAACTTGAAGAGAAAAATTTTTGTGAGCTCCAAAATTCTGAGTATATTGTATTCTGCTCTTTCACTTTCAGATCTAAGTCTAACCTTTATTCTTTCACTTTCATATCTATTCTTTGTGAGAGAATTATTGTAAAAGAGAGTTTAAGTACCAGTTATTCTTATTCCTTATTTTTGTGAGAGATTTTATAAGGGTAAGGCATTTATTGTTGAGTAAGGCTCAATAGATAAGAGTAAGTCATGTGCCAAATCCACAAGCTTGGTGGTGTATTTATTCAATTGATAGTAAAGAAATTTTCAAGGAGGTTCCTTGGGCCTGGCGTGCCGAACCACTATAAATCTCAGTGTTTGATTTTTTCTCCTTGTCTCTCTTACTTTTACATTGATAATTATTATTCTGTTTTTTTTTTATTTTTTTAAATTCTGAATATTGTGTTAATTTTAATATTGTAAAATTTTTAATAACCTAATTCACCCCCCTCTTGGGTTACTTGCATGGGATAACAATTGGTATCAGAGCCTAGACTTTAGTTTGTGTGACTTAACCGTCTTAGAGTAGATCATGGCAACCCTTAATTATTCCTTACCTGAGGGGGACAAGCATCCAATAGGCCACCACTATTTAGCGGTACAAATTTTAGTTATTGAAAAACTAGGATGACCATACATGTTCAATATAATGATTATGAATGCTGAAAAATTATTTGCAATGATCCAAAAATTCCTACCAAAATCGTAGATAGACTTAGGGTACCAAAACCTGAAGATGAGTGGAATGAATCAGATACTAGAACGGCCCAAATTAATGTCAAAGCCACAAACATGTTGTACTGTGCCTTAGATGCCAACGAGTTCAACAAAATTTTCACATATAAAACTGCAAAAGAAATTTAGGACAAGCTTATAGTGACTCATGAGGAAACCGAACAAGTTAAAGAATCTAGAGTCAATTTGTTAGTCCATAATTATGAACTCTTTAAAAGGAAGCCTGATGAGACTATTCTTCAAATGTTTACTCGTTTTACTGATATTATTAATGGTTTAACTTCTCTTGGAAAAATATATACTAATGCTGAAATTGTAAGAAAAGTGCTTAAGTCATTGCCAAAAAATTGGGAGACAAAAGTCATTGCCATTACCGAAGCCAAGGATTTATCAAAGCTAAGTCTAGATGAGTTAATGGGATCTCTCTTAACTCATGAGCTCATAATGCAAGAAGGAAAGGAAGAGGAGGACAACAACAAAAAGAAAGGAATAGCCTTCAAATCTACCTCGAAACATCAAGAGGATGAAGAAGATGATTCAGATGAGGATGAGAAAATGACATTCATCATTAGAAAGTTCTAAAGGTTTATGAGAAAAAAACAAGGCGTACGAAAATTTTTCAGAAAAGACTTCAACAACAGGGATTTTTAAAGAGGAGAAAATCACAAAAAATCTGAAGTTATCTGCTATGAATGCAACAAACCTGGACACTATAAATCAGAATGTTCGGAACTTAAGAAAAAATTCAAGAAGGACAAAAAGAAAGCTATGAATGTAGCATGGAGAGAAGATAGCGATGAAAGCGACACAGAAACCGAAGTTTGCAAAAATAAGATTGCTAACCTATGCTTAATGACACTTGGAAACGAAAATGAGGTAAATGACAAATCCTTTACATTTGATGAATTACAATTAGCTTTTGATGAATTACATGCTGAATTTAAGAAACTTCGTTTGAAAAGTAATTATCAAAAAAAAGTGATTTCAAGTTTATCAAAAGAAAATAAATCATTAACTTCCAAGATAAATATTTTAGAAAATGAAAAAGAAAAATGAGATTTTAACTCGAAAAGAGTCTTCAATTTTTGAAAAATATTTAGTTGTATTGTAAAAAAAAAATGAGTCTTTAAAAAAGGAGCAAATTATTTTGAAAGAAAATATTGAAGACTTGAAAAATACTCTTTCAAAATTCACTCAAGATAGAGAAACTTTAGATAAAATTCTTAAAAATCAAAATCGTACTTTTGGTAGAGTTGGAATTGGATATAAACCTTTTTCAAAAGTAAAAACGGTTAAAAATGGCTTTGTGTATGTATCTTCTAATCACTCTCATCTCACATGTCATTTTTGTAGAACAAAAGGTCATATTTCACCTTCATGTCCCGTTAAAAGAAATCATTTTGCTAAAATAAAAAAGATATGGGTCCCTAAGGACATCTCAAGAGTGCCAAATTCTAACTTTTATAGACCCAAAAAAAAAAGGGTACCAATAGAAAATTCAAAATTTTGTAGGTATGTTTCAAGACAAATTCTAGTAACGATAGATGGTATCTCGACAGTGCATGTTCGAGGCACATGACTGGAAATAAAGCTATGTTCGCCACACTCCAACCAAAGGATGTTGGATATGTGACTTTTGGCGACAATAGCAAGGGTAAAATCATTGGTGTAAGAAGTATTGGTAAAAATCCCTCTCCTATTATTGAAAATGTTTTATTTGTTGAAGGTTTAAAACATAACTTGCTTAGCATTAGTCAATTATGTGATAAAGGTTATAGAGTTATTTTTGAGAAAACTCATTGCACTATTGAAAACACCCTAGAAAACAAAACTTTATTTGTAGGTTATAGACATGAGAATGTATATGTGTTTCATTTGCATGATTTGTCTTCTCATTTTAATATTAAATGTTTATCTGCTATAAATGATAATGGTTGGCTTTGACATAGAAGATTAGGACATGCTCATTTTGATTTAATTTCCAAACTTTCAAAAAATGAGTTAGTTATTGGTTTACCAAAAATTATTTTTGAAAAAGACAAACTTTGTGATGCATGTCAATTTGGAAAACAAATTAGAATGTCTTTTAAATCCAAAAATATCGTTTCAACTACTAAACCACTTCAACTGTTGCATATTGATTTATTCGGACCATCTAGAACATTAAGTTTAGGAGGAAAATCGTATGCTCTTGTTTGTGTTGATGATTATACTAGATATACATGGGTATTATTTTTAGCACATGAAAATGAAACTTTTTATAATTTCTCAAGACTTTGTAAAAGAATTCAAAATGAAAAAAACAATCTTAATATTTGTAGTATTAGAAGTGATCATGGTAGAGAATTTGAAAATGATGATTTTATTATGTTTTGTGATGAGTTTGGAATTGATCATAATTTTTCGGCCCCTAAAACTCCTCAACAAAATAGAGTAGTTGAAAGAAAAAATAGAACTCTTGAAGAAATAGTTCATACTATGCTTTGTGAAAATAATTTGCCTAAATATTTTGGGCGGAAACTATTAACACTGCATGCTATGCTATAAACCGTGCCATGATTAAACCTATTCTTAAGAAAACCCCTTATGAACTTTGGAAAGGTAGAAAACCTAATATTAGTCAATTGCATGCTTTTGGCTGTAAATGCTTTGTATTAAATAACAATAAAGATAACTTAGGAAAATTTGATGCTAAATCAGATGAAGCTATATTTCTTGATTATTCTATGTCCAGTAAAGCTTATAAAGTATTCAATAAAAGAACTCTACTTATTGAAGAATCTGTGCATGTTGTTTTTTATGAATCTAACAACATTATTTTAAAGAATCTTGTAAGGAA